TTTTTTTATATATTTCAAAATATAATTCATACCGTCACTTTCGCACGCAATTTCGCAAATTATTAACACAATTGACTACATACTACATATATTAGAGCCCGTTGATCAATAAAAGTCGTGTTTTTTTAAATAAAAAATAAAAAAAAATCCTGAGCGGGGCCTTTTTTGTGGGCGGCGGGGACGCTAACCAACTATTTTTTTTATGTGGCCTAAAGTGACATGGAAGTTGATTCTTTGGCATTTATCAATATTATTCATAATTTTTTCATTATTTGGTAAAAATTGATGCTAGGTCAGAGTTTTTGGATCAGAAAGCTGATTTGGAAATTCGCGTAATATTAGCTTGGAAATTGAATTTACATAGTAAACGCGCATATATAATTGCAGGAAGGCTAGGAAGTTCCGAATTTAGCTATACAATTGTGTATAACAAACAATAGCTAATTATAGTAATTCCATAGAATCATTACATTGCATGTTTTTTATCTGTTATGTGATCCTGAACAACTGACAATCCCAGGGTTTTTTAGAGGAATTTTTTAAGGCGTAAAACGGCTCCAAAAACTCAATCTTGAATTGAGTTTTGAAACTCAATCTTCATGACGTGTGCAAATTAGTTTTCAGTTGAACTGAACCCGAAAATTAAGTAAAAAATGGCTGGAAATAATTTCACAACACAAGAAAAACAACGCATTCGCCGTCTTTAACCAGTTTATAGTGTCCCTTAGTGCCCCTGCTTTAACACATTGCATCTCAACTACATTAAAGTAAGCACAGGTTTCAGCCTCCCGGTAGTGGGGGGGGGAGAGACAGCCGCCCCAGAGCCCTAGTTGTTCAGTCAAACTCAATCTTCTCTGCAAAAACGGATCCAAGAGAAAATCCTGAAAATCCTGAATCCCAATACACGCATGTACGCCATAGCATATTTTTAAAGAATTAATTAAGTCGCGACGAAACCGAAGCAAAAAAGGGATCATCATGCACGAAGCCATATAGGAACATTTCTATGATTTCTTGATTGCATATTATAATATAGCATTTGTAAAGTCTGGACGCTGATTGGCTAAGAGCCGTGTTGATATAACTCAATGTCAACACGGAAACGTCGGAAAATTTCATTCTTTCTCGTGGAAATTGGAAATTGTGTGAAAACACAATTTCTCGTTTTCCCAAAAAGTTTTCATTTTAGTTTCATGTTTACTGCATGCAAATAATTCCGCCTCTTTAGTTTCCTGAATAGAAACAATTATAAAGGCATTTTTAGGTAGTCCCAGACTCCTGCGGCAAGGAATTATGCGCGGTTCCAGGGAGTGCGAATTGTTCCATCCAACAAAGCGGTTTGCAAAAAAATTATATCGAGACTTAAAGTGGAAAAATCGTTTTGTAAAGTAGAAAATCCCATTCCAGTGGGGTTTTTTACGAAAAGCAATAGTTCTGAAATAATCTTTTTAAACTTATACAAATACTTTTCATATTTTTCTACGTTGCTTGCATGAGCTTATTAAGGTAACGCTTTTGAAACCATAGTTTTCGACAATTATTCAGGCGATTTACAGACTACAGTTCATCGACAAGTAAATATTATTGTTTCAAAAACATGAAAACACTTCGTTTAGATTGAAGAAAAACGAAACCCGACGAAGAATGAACTATCATTTCGTAATTTCATAAAATATTAGCAAACAGTTACGTTCAGAGCATGCAAAAATGTTTATGAGTACAGTTATATTTATGCGAAACAAGGCTGCACGACTTTCACCGTTTTTGTAACTGCGCATTTGCTTTGAGCCAACTTAATATTTCAAATTCTATCTCCAAACTACAAATGAGACAGCAAGACAAAACGTTTTGACAATGAAAACTTAGTTTTAGCTTTGTTTATACTTTGTAGTTTGCACTCCTACTCAAATTCAACATGGCGGATTTTTGTTTTCAATTTGGACACCAGTCACGTGACCAAGCACGCGTTCTAGGTCTAATCATTCTATGGTTTTCACTCGCTACTCCTATTTCGAGTGGTGGCAATTAAAAAACCGCCATGTAATGCCATCTTCAGGTATAAATATGTTTATGTATATGGTATATGTTTCCTATGTTTCCTTTTTTATGTATATGGTATATGTTTTTTTTTATATGTATATGGTATATGTTTCCTCACGCAAGTGAAGCAATATCGATGAATATTTACATCAAAAGACCCCACGCAACATATAAAGCAGTTTAATTTCACCACCATAGATATACAAGTAATATATATACACACCCTTCCGGAAAGTGTTCAGCCTCGTTTCGAGATATTCCGTTTATAGCCCTTTATCTTGTTAATGTGACAGATTATATGAATATAATCAGTGAATATAAAAAGATAGTTTGAAATTTTTAATCAGTAACGAGATAAAGGGCTCAGTACTTTCCGGAAGGGTGTATATAATTATTTGTTCCTGAACATGGACAGTCACTTTCAAGCCCAACATGTTAAGTCCAATACGGCATTGGATGGCTTCCAAGAATATAGAGATAATTCAAAAAAGGTTGTCCTTCGAAAATCTCAAACCTTAATCTCTAAGAGCGCAAGGTGTAATGGGTAACTTCTTACTTAAGGCCTAAAAGTGCGGATTTTGGATTGCAACTATGACAAGATAGATAATAAACACTTAAGATGTACAAATAGCTAGCGGTGTACTAGGATTATTTGCCCAATCAAATGCCCTAAACAGAAGTTACCCATCACTCTTTGCGCACTTAAAGTTTAAGGTTTGAGATTTTTGAAGGACAATCTTTTTTGAATTAGCGGTATATATCCCGGTTGTGGCCAGGCATGTGGTCTCACCAATTCCGTATTGACTCAACATGTTGGGCTTGAAAGTGACTGTCCATGTTCAGGAACAAATACACCCTTCCGCAAAGTACTGAGCCCTTTATTTCGTTGCTGATTAAAAATTTCAAACTGTCTCGCAGCAAATTCTGTTAGCCCGCCGCACGCGAGAGCAACTTGCTGAGCTACTGACCGCCTCGCCAGGCGATTAGCTCAGCAAGTTGCTCTCGTGTGCGGATAGTTTTCGTGAGGATTTAACCTCTCGAGGCCTTGAGGAAAATATCTATCGTGTTTGATATTTTTTGCCTCGCGAGGAAAAAATCTCAGCGTCTGCGGATGTTGTGAGCTAAGTGCTGAGCTGTTTGAATCAATTAGCCAATGACAAACCATGGGTTCTTCATGTGACTTGGAACAAAATGGAGGAAAATGCAAATGATTTTGTTATTTATGTTGTTGTTGAGTAGTTTTCTCAACGTGTGCGGTGAAAATACATAGCTGAGCTTGCTCTCGTGTGCGGCGGGCTTTACGGAGCTTTAGCAAATAATAAACTCCGAATTGAAAAATCTTCATCAATGGCTACTAGTTGATAGACTGAGAGGATTTTTCAATACCTATTTACAGAACAAATAGTTATATTAAAATTCCTATTTAAAGCGTTTATTTAAAATTTATTTGTCAATGAGATCAGAAGTATAATTACATATTTATCATTTATTTAAAATCTATTAAATCTTTAATATCAGGAAATGCAATTAATTGTTGTTTAGCATCTTCTGCTTTAACTCGGTTTTAAATCTTTTCCAAGGTAACTTTTTTAGATCTTCATCCAAGCATAGCAGGGGTTATTCTAAGGATAATTTACAACTCCAGTAAATAAAAAAATTCTGCCACTTTGTTGAAGTATTAAGCCTTCAGGAGGAGATCTACTCTATCGCCCTGCATTATCCCTGAGAATAACTAGCACGGCTAATATTTTTTTTAATTTGGTGTGGTCTTAATCTTATTTATTCTCCAGTTACACTGTATGTGATTCTGTCACAGCAACTGTTAGTCACTTTTCGCGGTGTGGTGACGTAAGACTTCAAGACATAGGTTATGGTCAACGGTGGGGAAATTAATTAGGTCTTGAAAGAAGGACATTTGTACTAGTTATTATATAGGCTTTGGTGCACAGTAATTCCATACTTCCTATAAACTGATGACATACTTCATAAACTGTAAACATCTTAGGAAATAAATACGACCTTCGAATGAGTTTCGCTCAATCTCAGGTCAAATACTTTTCCATTTAGCAGTCACAATTAATATTATTTTACTTCTGGGTCTTTATAAAAATAAATAAAATGTTTCCCCCTGCTGACAGAGCACCAAGTAAAAAATCGATCAACGTACTGTATCAAACTGATAAGAGATAACGACGAATAAAATCACTTCAGACTTCTCATTTTAGTCCGAATATATAGACTCAATACCTTTGGCTTTCACTTTCCAGAAAGTTGATAAAGCAATCATGTAAATATTGAACGAAACTGATTTGTCAAGAAGAACTTCTCAAAACGTCTCTACTACAATAGATGTCAAGAGTGGAATCTTCTACTATAATACTTCTTGTGAAAATTCAAAGGAAGAGCCTGATATAATCAACTTTCCTTGAAAGGCACTGCCCTTAGTATTCCACGAGAAAGGGGAGTTCATCACCTTTTAATTTTGTGACAGCCTTAAGAGATCTAACAGCGGTGAAGAATGAAATTATTTATTGCCTTTTGGAATTTCTAGATCAGAGATTTGGACATTTGGTGTTGATCAGAAGATATTGAAAGTAATCAAATCCTTTATTGCTTTAAAGTCCAATGCTGATATCAAGCCGGAATTCCACGAAACAATACTGTATGTTCATGCAGATTAATCGTTAATGGAGCTTTCTCTCGAATTTAACAGCATTGTAACATCACCAGAGCTGATACGTACTCTCCAAAACCTACGTTTAGCTCAGATGGGGCAGTATTTGGCACGAAAACGAAACATTTACCCCAATATTGTCATACCCCTTGCCAGAATATGGGCAACAAAACCTTACTCGTGCAATGATGAAAGGTTAATCAGTGCATGCAACCTTGTAAAAACATCGCTGAGGAATTCTATTGATGTCGAAACACAAAATCTTTATCTATACGTTCACTTCAATATGCCAACTCTTGAGGAATTGGATCGAAGAATGTGTGTTGTGATATGGCTGCAACAAAGGGAACGCAAGAACGAGAAAACTGACAAAGCACGCTATCAACAATGGGTCAAAGTTGTGTTTAAAGAAGCAACTCAGAAGAAAGAACACACAAGAGACGATATAGTGGATCAACATGTAGAACAAAATAAGAAGGCCAAACTGTTTTGAACAAAGTCAATGTTTGACTTATAGATAAAAAAACACTTATAACTTCTCTCATTTACACTTTTAAACTACAGTACATAACTTTATACGTTAATGAATGTGACTTCTGGAATGTGATATATTTTGAATGTGTGTTGAGTTAAAGACTAAATTATCAATATTATATCACAACTCCAGTGTTTTTCATTTACAACTCCAGATCAAGACCTAACAAATCCAGCTTAGAATAACCCCTGAAGCATAGTCACTATGATCCAAGTCATTCCATAACTTCACCGCTCTGTAATAAAAGGTTCTTTGTCCTGAAACTGTTTTGTGTTGAGGGATATGTAGCGCTTTATTATTACTTGTATTTAGATCGTGAATTTCATTTCTTTTTATAAATAATTGGGATAGATAAGGTGGTGATAATCTGTTCATACATTTGTATGTTATTAGTGTCTCTTTATATTTTAAGTGTTCCTCTACAGGAAGCCAGCGAATTGCCCGTAGTGCTGGTGTTACATGATCATATCTTCCCGTATTTGTCAATATCCTACAAGAAAAATTCTGTACTGCTCTCAATTTCTTTATATTTATTGCAGAAGTGTTTGACAATACTGTAGAGCAAAATAAAGTTTGCTCATTACTAAAGCATTGATAATTAAGCTGAAAGCTATCCTTTAAGCCTGGCGCACACGATGCGATTTTAGTCGTCCGATAAAAATGGTTTGACATACCGATATACATCGGTATACTCCGCACACGATTACGAAAAAAAATACGTTCCCTGAACTGTAGCCGCCATGTTGCCAAATAAATACAAGCACGTGTAATATCAAAACGTTTTGATGTTATCCGATTAAAATCGAGCAACAAAAACCGGTTAAAAATGACACAGCACACACAACGATTTTGTTAGTTTTAGTCAAACGATTTTTATCGGCCGACTAAAATCGCATCGTGTGCGCCAGGCTTTACTCTGTTTATCTGACACAGCTTGGCCATACAAGATGATACAACATTTTTGATATGGTAATCGTATGTCAGATAACTGTTGTCTAGGGTTAATCCCAGGTCAGTTGGCGTTTGTGGTTGGTGTAATCTCTTCACCAAGAAATGTAATTGTCGTCTCCTAAAGGAGCTTATCGAGCAGTTGACGAGTTTCTATCAAGCGTAACTTTGTCTTCTCGGGGTTTATCAGCAGTTTATTTTCGAAAAACCAAGTTGCGACCAATTTGAGATCCTCTTCTATCTTTGTTTTTGCACTAGCAATATCTTCATGTCAATTGGAAATGACATAAAGATCTTAGAATCGTCGACGAATGAATCCAACTCAGACACTTGTGGTACTCTTGAGAGGTCATTTATATAGATGTAGAACAATAGCGGTGACAATATTGCTCCCTTTATAGGAATATTACTGCAGTATAACTTTGAATATATAACGTGTTCGACAGGACGAAATATTACATACACCTAGGGAATATATGCATGCAGCAACCCCTCACCTTTCTTTACAGATGAAGTATAAAAACTCCACATAAAGTATTAAGATCATTATAAACAAACATAAAAACACAACTGATGCGCTAGCTTTATAATGAACGATAACATTCAATGGATCACTGCAATTCATGTATACCAGCTTGCTTTAAAGTGAATTATCGAGTTAAGAATGGCTTAAAATTTCGCAGATATGAATAAAACCGACAACACAACGCAAGTACGGCATGGAATTTTAGTACTGAAATGTTTACACTTACCCAAACCGGCACAACAACGATTAAATTATCAAAGACAATAAAATTCAAAACATCAAAACAATTATTATACAAATTTTGTGTCGCAGTTGAACAGCCACTAATTCATGAAACTGCAGGCTTATTTCCAGTTAAAATCGAGAAAAAAAGCAACCGTGTTGTACTTTTGTAAACTTTTTAACGAAATTTAAAACAAAAAATTGCTGTAAAACAGCAAAATACGTCCTTTCAAAATGAAAAACAAATAAAAAATTACTTCGACAGAGTTTGTACTCGCGCATGCGCATAACGTGGAAAATCGTCCATGACATAAACAAAATGGATCAGGACAACTTTGCACTCCGCTATGAGTCGCAGAGGAGAGATATACAGAGACGAATCTCGCGGCAAATTATGTCAAACCGATCAAATGAACTTAAAATTATATTAATTCACTATTTTATTAAATTTTGATAATGCAGAGGAATAAAACTATACGTATTATAGAAGTATTCATGTTTTCTTTTATGCGAGAGTTATATTTTGAGGAATTTATATCATTTGCTGTTTTGTTTTATACATGAGCATCTGAAATTCCCAGCAAGTGTATTTCACGATTTTAATAAGGGGAAGATAGGGAAGAACAACTTTTGCTAAATAAAATGTTATGTTAACACTTTTAATAAAAGGAAATCAATAAAATAATGGCTTACCGTTACTCTTGAAGAATTCATTCGCAAAATAGCCGTCGGTGACGCAGATTTTTAAAAAAAAACAATTTTTCGTCTTTCGAACGGCGTTTTCCTATTACTTTTCTTATTAAATTTCAGAACGACACTTGCCAGCGCTCGCCGAAAGTGCGAATTCCGTGTGACACAAAACAATCAGCAATTTGACGGGAGATTCATATCTGTATTTACCTCATCTGTGGCTATGTCTTCACATGCCCGGGTATAACTATGTATTCATATACCCGGGTATAATTAGCCGTGCGGAATTAGTACCCTCGCACGGCGCTTCGCGCCGCCGGCTCGGGGAAAATACGAATTAACTAAGTTAGAACAAAACTGTACGAAACTATATACATTTAAATATTTCTTTCTAAGATTATCCAAGTCTTGACCATGCTTTCAAGACTAAGAAATTCTTGGTCTCATTGTAGAATACTCTGTAGTCTCTGCAGTTCCTAATTTCTTCTGGTAATTTTTCTGCAGTTCCTAATTTCTTCTGGTAACTAGTAAAACCAAACATACAAGTGCATCTGAAGACTAAGCGAGAGTTTGGTGCAGAAATGTTCTGTTTGCGGGGATCTTGTCTAAAAGTACATACGATCGCGAGTGACCACGAGTTATTAATTTAAAATGTAATTTTTAAACACAGAATCACTAGTGGTCATTCTTTCTGTGATATTTAAACACAGAATCACTCGTGGTCGTTCGTGGGCACGAATGATCACGAGTGATTTCTGTGTTTAAAAATCATAAAATAATAATGATTCCCTAGGATTTTTTACATTATACTACACTATAGTATCCAGAAGAAAACGCCTGTTTCTTCACTTTACATAAATCGTCCGTGGTCACTTGTGGTCATTCGTCGTCACTTGTGGTCATTCGTGGTCATTCGTGTGTATTTTTAAACAAGAACGTTTACGGGAAGTTATTTTCCATTCGCAAGGCGTCAACAAAAGCCTGCATTTTCGGTCTTGTTTAAAAGTACACACGAGTGACAACGAAAGACCACGAATGACCACGAATGACCACGAGTGATTTATGTGTTTAAAAATCATAAAATAATAATAAAAACTATTTTTAAGGTGGCTACCTACAATCACGAGCAAAAATTATCAAAATATCTTTTTCGCCCCCCCCCCCCCTTCCCCCCAAAGCAATGTTGTTGTCATGATACCAAACTACAGTGTTGGCTGAAAACACTCATTGTCACTGGGGGGAGGGGGGAAATAGTAAGAAAATATCGAATTATATGACGGTAGATGTGTCAAAATGAAAAAAAATGTTTAAATTACGTAAAGTCTCATTATTTTTTTTCATTATACTGCACTACAGTGTCCAGAAAACTCCTGTTTCTTCACTTTACATCACACAAAGACGAAATCTTTTGAACACATTGACGGCAATGCTCTCCTGAACATTGCAATTTGCTACTTTTCTGCTAAAAGTCCGTTACCATGACAACAGCGTGCTTAGGATGAGGCTCAAAATTTGTCTTTTTCCGGCCATTTTAAAAATTCCCTTCGGTAATTGTTTTTAAAACTTTAATTGCTTGTGTAAAATTTCAGGCGAACATGATTAACAACCACGGAGTTACGAGCATTTGAAATGTCCAAAATCTCTGCCGGTCCGCCATTAAAATCCGCCATCTTGATTTTATGTTGTCACGAAAGGCTTCTGACTTCATAGTCTCAACACACCGCAAGGGCAGAAGTAGAATTAGTATAAAGCAAACGTAAAGCATCGCATGTATTTCAAGAACTAAAATGTCAGTTTCGTCGCGATCTAGTAGCGTTTCGGAGTATTTGTCTGAAACAGATTCTCCCGCATCTCATCTGTTTATATAACAGCAAATTCAAGCGAACTTGACAATGAATTTTTGCCATTTGATGATACTATTGCTGACTATTGCTGGAGCCGCTTGCCTCGCCTGAAGAGGTAGCCGAGTAC